ATGTATATAGTGGCTGTGACCCTTATGTCTGTAAAGGAGTTACACCTCTCATTCTTCAATAGGAACAAAGAAAAGGCTCACAGACAAGAAGCTGGATTCCTAAGGGTTGAATGCAATGCTCCTTAGTACCATAAAAACTCCTCTAGATGCTCTACAGTTTGGACAGGACAAATGTAGAGTAAATAACTCCTGCGGGGGTAAGTCTGTTCATGAAAATTTATGACACAGAAACGAGTGGAATACTAAACTGGTCTTCTGATTTTATTAGAGAAATTAAAGGGGTTATAAATGCAATGCATAATTTGGACATAATCTTAAACTTATTTGTGGCACAGGGAGGTTTTATTAAAATTATTTCAGACAGACAGACTTTGCTTTTTCTGATTCTTTCACCTTCATGTGAACCATCAGTCTATGCTGCGTGTGTCTGGGATCCTTGGCAGAAACTAGCTAAGTTTAGAGGAAACCTGAATTGTAGCTTTCCACAATCAGTGAAGGAAAGAAACACATACAAAGGTGCTTGTGTTACCAGTTACTTATTTCTGTAAATAATGTTAGTAGCATAGGTCTTGTCAGGAAAGCACTGGTGAACCATGAAGGATTACTTCCCAGGGCTGGAGCTATCAAGTCCAGCTTAAATGTTTCTGTCACCATCTAAACCTAAAATATGAATTCCTTAAACATCTGTGCAATTCTTGTCCCTTTCTGGGCCATAGGAACTCTGATGAACTAAAATAATTTTTTATTTCCTTAAGTATACCCAGAACTACTTGTTCATGGAACTAAGATGCTTGTTATTCAGCCTGCACCTTGGTAATGATAATGCTTAGCCTGTCAAACAAGCTCTGGAGTAATAGTCGTAGTGTCCTCCACCTTCCTTATTTCTTTATTTAATGGTTTAGTGCTGTGACCAGCAGTGCAGGAGGTGTAGGTCTAATTTCCACCCCTGACTTGCATATAAATTGAGTAGGAAGAGATGTTGCCTGGGGGAACCTGTCATTTACTTCCTTCTGGAATTTTTCTATGAAAAGCAGTATTTTCTTGGCTCAGAGCAAAGAGAAAAAACCTCTTAACTTAATGGCTACGTCGCACCCTGGGAGAAGTGGTGTCTGGCCTCCTGCACAGCTCACGCTCTCAGAAATACACATTTCCAGTTTCTGACTGGACACAGTCTGAAGGTCGTGGGGGGTTTTTTGTGTGTGTGGACTGGGAGGTGTGCAACTCCAACACACTGGAATGAGGTGGTGGTTATATTAAACTGTTTAAATATTTAAGACTTGTAGTTTAAGCTAGTAGCTAAAAACTATGTAGATTATCCTTGCTTGGGAAGGAAGAATGAATTGCCAAAAAAACATCAGAGAGAAAGAAGATACTTTGGTAGGCATGAATGAAGTGTTTGTGTTGAGGGCTCAGCCTTGGCTGAAAGAGAAGTGCTATGTGACTGCAATGCAGACATCTTCATTGCGTGGTTTAATTTACTCTGGTTTGGGACTCACAGGCAGCACGTGCCTTTATGTACTCAGCTGGACAGGACCTTCTGGTCAATTTTGTGGGAAAATCGTGTCCACGTATTCCTGAATTTTGTTTTCTTCTCCCCAAGATTATTACAGTCCTGCAATGCTGGGCCTGAAAACGGATCAGGAAGTCCTTGGAGAACTTGTGAAAATGAAAGTTCCAGCTGTGGCAGAGCTGATGGAAAGACACGGAGTCATGTGGACCCTAGTGGTGTCACGCTGGTTTATATGCTTGTTCATTGACATTCTTCCAGTGGAGGTAATTAACTGGTAACATGAAGTTCTCTTAATATAAGCTCATAATCATTATTTCATTGGTAGTGCTTTAGTAATAATTACCTACTGGAAATCAAGAAGCTGTAACCTGAATTCTCTCCTTTCCTGCAGACTGTGCTCCGAATATGGGATTGTTTATTCTATGAAGGGTCAAAGATCATCTTCCGCGTGGCCTTAACATTAATTAAGCAACACCAAGCTTTTATTTTGGAAGCCACAAATTTCCCCGACATTTGTGAAAAATTTAAGCAGATCACCAAAGGAACATTTGTAACAGAGTGTCACAGCTTCATGCAGGTAAATTCTCTGCAGCTTTTAGTTGTTTCAAATTAAAAACAAGACTGACTTAGAAATGTTTTGCTCAGTCAGAAAGATGGATACAGTTAAGAGAAATGTACCTGTAGAAATTGCCAAAAGGATGAAGAATGTTTTTATCTAAGAAATGCAAACCTTTTTTAAAGAATTATTATCTAAGCCCATATATAGTAAGCCATTCACATTCTGTTGTACAGGAAAAAATACTTTTTGCCCTTTTTACCAGTTAAGACAGGAAATCTGATGAGAAAACAACTTTAGTGCATTCTTTCAGTGAACTATGGGTTATGTTCCTGTGCTTTCTTATCATGAATTGTAACAGAGTATTGTAGAATAGACAAAAAGTGAATTTTAAACTTGCACTGATAAATCTTCATAGTGTCAGAAGATAAAGCATTCTATTTAAAACAAAAAGGTACTACCAAGTTCTTATTTCCAGACAAAAAACCATGGAGTGCAACAACCTGCAAACTAAGAATTATTCTTGTAAATTATTAATAGATTGGATGCCAGATCTGTATAGAACATTCAGTTTGGAGCTTAACTCAGAAGATGGAAATGTAAAAGATGTTATTTCCAAAAAAAAACCCCAAAATAACAGGAGCACATCAGTCATAAATCACTTGGCCAACTGTGCTATCACTTGTCTGCTGAGCGTGCACAAAACTACATCTCAGTAGGTGACTCTTACTCCCAAAAGAGTTTCATGCTCATGTCTGTGCATAGGTCTATCCTAGTGGGATGCCATTCATGTTACATTTCATTTTTGCTCAAACAGAAGATACAAATAAGCTTAACTTACTAGTGTTTGTGAGCCTTTTAATTAAAAGAGCAAAAGAAAAATAAATCACAGGAATAGCTTAATTTAGAAGGGAGATGGTTGAGGGTTTGCCATTCCATAAAGGGTTTAGAATAAGAGTTTTGTTAAATGTTAACTGCCATGAGAATACTTGAGGGACTTTCCTCCTCCCTTTAATCACATTACAGCAGCTGTTTTTAGAAAAATCAACTACCTTTTTCTTGCAGTTACCCTGAATAAAACAGTTTATTTTAACTGTGCTGGTTACTGGCAAGAGGGGGCTTTCAAGGCAATTAAATAAATAAATTAGGTTCTTTGAAATGTGTTTTTTCAGGTTTGGTCTTGTTGGGTTTTTTTTCAGCAGTACAGATACTAGAACCAGTAGAGGTGATAAGTTGAGCATTTTATGCCTCCCTCCCCCTCAACAAAAACTGAGTTTTTAGTTTAATGCAATGCAGGCTTCTTTACCAGAATGCTGTTCAGAACTGGCTCATTTATAATCTCATCTCCAGAACTGTCAGTTACAACTATAGAGAACCTTAACTGTAGCTTAGAGTGCATAAACTTGCTTCATAGTTTTGTTCAGTCAGAAGTTTTAGATGAACTAGTGAAAACAAATGTATTGTTCTTGAGCAAGAACTCAAAGCAAAAAATATTACAAAATGCCTCAAATTCTTACATCCATATACATTGCTACCCTGGAAAGCTTGGTAGAGCAGAGCAAAGGTAGCAGAGCAAAGGATTAAGGGGGTTTTTTGTTGTTTGGTTGGTTTTGTTGGGTTTTTTTGTTTGTTTTTTTTTAGTAGGAACATGTATGTATGTGTTCCAGGACCTGACTGACCCATGCTGGCACCACGTAAGAAATGCACTGGTGCTCTGTAGCATTATCCAGGATGGCTTAATATGTTCAAGTACGCCTGCCATCCACCAGCACAAATGCCTTCTGAAATTATATTAACTGGACACTTACATTCAAACTACCTTTTGTATTGTTACTTTTGTGTAACTTACAGTACTTACTATGAGCTGCAGGTTTACTGTGTCTTTACAGCAGGTAGGTGAAGCTGGTACCCTGTTACAAGAAAGCCAAACACCAGTAACCATTTTCACAGTATGGATATCAGAGCTGGGATTTCACACTTCAGAGAATTAGATGAGAACTCCAGCATGCTGTCCAAAGCCAGAATTGTTATCTAAGCATTTTCTCCTTTTGCCTTCAGAAAATATTCACAGAGCCTGGAAGTTTGTCCATGGCCACCATCAACAAACTCCGAGAGACTTGCAGAGAGAAGGTGCTTTCTCAGGGATAACTCTCCAGATTTAACCAGGTGGTCAGAGACAACAGCAATTGACACATTCCTCTATTTGCACTGACTAAAGCACACTTTAAGCTTTCCACGAGTTAACTGACCCTTGACCAATTTTTCCTGCCTTTCAAGTAAGTGTTGTTAACACTTTGTACTGTATGTCAGACTTGATAACTGGAACTGGTGGTTCTGTTGTTGGGTTTTTTTTGTTGTTGTTTTAGGTTGTTTGGGGGGTTTTTTTAAGGATTAAAGTGTTTTCAGAATAGAATGTAATCAGTGTCAGGACACTCCTTTTAAAAAAAAAGTCACTGTCCTTGTCTTTTCAGGGCACTTTGTAATGTTAAAAGAAAACAGGTGTATAAAATTACATATCCTTCCTACTGTCGTAACTGTGACACTATCATTTGTACAAAATAAATTAATTTAATTTGTCAGAACCTGTTTCTTGGTGTGAAGAGAGTAAAAATACCTGATCTCTTTTGTGACCGCCAAGCAAAGCAGCAGCCCTGGCCCTTGGCCACTTCCAGCTCTGCTGGAGCCAGGTGCCTGTGACTTGTTTTCTTGTCCTTACAGAGCCCTCTCGTGGCCAAATCCTGAAGAGAGTCCACCAATTTGTGCTTTTTATTTTCCCTACTGAACAGCTGCTGCAGAAAGCCTCACCCTTTAACCCCACACTCCTTTCCAGACGGCCCTGTGTGCAGTCCTCCCTCTCAGAAGAGCAGTGTACTGTGCAGTGTTGGCTCCTGCCCTGTGTAGCTGCTACTGTTAGCACCAAAACACTACTGCAGGAGGGAGTCAAGGCAGCTTTACACACACAGGTTTGCTTCCAGGCACACCACAACACACACACACACAGTCCTCAGCAGACATGAGTTTCCTATTCTGTGGTAAGAATCTAACTTCAAAATAAAACCTAAAATGTCATTTACACAACAAATATCTTAGCAGCACTTTCTGAAAGTGATGCTTAGCAAGGCAGATCACTATACTGACATTTCCCAGAGCAAGCAGCAATTTAATGGAAGAATTAACTTCTCCAGAGCTCAGGTTACTGATATGCAGAAGCTTTACCTGTTTCCAAGCACAAAGTCCAAAACAAGGGACTGTTCTGAAGACACATACACAGTTAAGCCTCACCTTTGTGCCACAGTGAAAAAAAAACTTAAAATGCTTGTTTAACATAATACTCCACACTAAGGATTGTTTAAAGCTTCCAAAGTAGAGCCAAACCAAAACTTTAGCACTTACCACATGGCCAAATGTTTTTAGGAGTGATCAGCAACACTAAGATACACAGAAAAAAAGTGTCTTTATTAGCATTGTTACAGGCAATGCATACATAAGAACTGATCCTTAAAGTGTACAACCCCCCAGCCAAGTTGAAAGCAAGAGAATCAGCAGATTGAGATCTATATTGTACACATGTGCAGTAACAGGATCTCTCTGGACCTTCCAACAGAAGAGACTGAAATCACTTTACAAAAAAAAGGTAAATAAAAATAACACCCATTTTAAAAAAGTACCAGCTCCTAACAAGCTGGCAAAGCATCAAACATATCAAACAGGGGAGTTGTCCAATCATAAAGAGTTCCTGTAAGGTTTGAGTATTGCATTGTTCACACCCTGCATCTGCCAGGCATTGAGTTTAAAGCTTAGTAAAAAATACACACCTAAGAGACAAGGTGGAGTTTAGATTTTAAATTTCAATTTTGTCAGTTGTTACTAAATTTAAACGCATCATCAGTATAATTAACATCATTGCTGGGTGGCAGCAGTACAAAGAATGAACCTTTTCCCTTTGTTAAGAGTCAAAACTGAAATTGAGTCAGTGTGAATTAGCAACATCCCTCTCTGGAATCTTTAGTTGATGTGACCTTATGCCAATTCCAAAAAAGCACCCTTAAAAACTTTTAGCTTGTTTCTAAGTGGGTAAATATTCAAACTAGTTAGCAAAATTAAACACCAGAATTTTCAGAAGTTATTTTTGTGCATAGTTAAATGCTGCAAGATGATTTCACATTTAATAAAGCAGACTTTAAGCAGCAGCAATTTGCAAGAAAAGGTGTTCCCTTACAATATCAGTCTTAGCTCAGGGGAAATGTGTGGGGTTTGTTTTTTTTCCCAGCTTCCTGCAATTGCTTTTCATCTACACTGGGTTTTAGTGCAAGTCATTAAATTGTTTGATATCCAGCATGGCTCCTCTTTCTGCCAATCAAGTAAGCAATCAGGACAATCAGAACAAGACCAGCGAGGGCTGCACCAACTATTATAGGGATCAGCATGTTATTTTCATCCAGTTGACATTCTTCCACTGAAGAGAGAGAAAGAGATCCATGTTAGCCACTAGTGCACCAACAGATGGCTGTATCCAGAACTCAAGCTTCTACTCTCAGCACATGGATAAAGCTGGCTCAACCTAACTTCTAGCTTAGCCTGCCAACAACCAAAAGGAAGCCCAGCCCACTATGAAGTCCTTCTAGTACTAGTCGTATGCACTATGTAGAGATTTATAGTAACTGTTTCCTTCTCAAGAGCCGTTACTGTTATGCACAAGCTTAGCCATAATAAATATATCCATGTGACTCCTCCCCTATCCCTTTTCCTTTAACCAGTCACATAGGACAGCATTAACCAAGAGAGTCAAGAACTTCCCAGAACTTTGTCCCCTTTCACACAACTGTCCGCACACAGTTAGGAGGGAAATTTAACG